TCAATGTGAACGCCAAAGATAAGCAGCAGTTGGCAAAAGGAAAGAGGGAGTTTATAAGTAACTTGCTTCTCTGTGTTTTCATGTGTCTTCTCAAAATTCTGCTGTAGCAGTAACTCCCTTCCTAGATTCAAAACTGAAAATTCAATGCCAATATCTTGTACGTATTGTTACTTATAAATCAATGCTGAGTCCTAGTTAAGGTTTAAACCTAGAGGAAGAAAGTGGTGTTTATTAAAACCCCTAAGTTTCGTTGAGTTTTTACTTACTTCTCCTACGTATAAAGGATAAAGTAGGAGCTAAGGATATAGGGTTTGGGGTAAGTTACATTGGGTAACAGGGTAGTAGCTTTGGCATCTGCAGCATGGGTTTGAATCCTGAGTCCCCACTTACTGGTTCTGTGGTATTTTAAAAGGCACTTAGCTATTCTGAATCTCATTTTCCTCATCTTTAAAAAAGGGATCTTAATACTTACCTAAATCTCAGAAATTTTGTGACTAATAATAAGAGCGGCTATCTATTGAGCTCTTAATCTATGAGCCAGGCACCATGATAAGCACTATACATAAATTCTCACTCTTGAAAACAATCCAATTCAGTAGATTATTATCATCATTTTTTTAGTGAGAAGACTGAGGCTGAGAGACCTATCGCTTGCCCAAGGTTATACAGCAAGCAACTACTGGAGGATTCTAACCTAGGGTGTCAGGGTCCAAAGCCTGAGCCCTTTACTTTAAATGGCATTGCCACCCAACATGCAACTTTACCACAGCTGATGTATGATCATTAGCATTTGATGAGCAGCTGGAGCATGTAAAGCCCTACTTCCAGTTCTACACTCGTCAGTATTCATGTTTTCTAATGGACCTTTTTAGAACACACTGAAAATATTCCAGAAGTTAAAAAGCAGTTGGATCACAGATACCTGGCAACCCTAATTCAGCCTTTTCAACTGTTAAAAATTATTTAATGCTAGCTGTCTTAGTTATCTAGTGCTGCTATAACAGAAATACCACAAGTGGATGGCTTTAATAAACAGAAATTTATTTTCTCACAGTCTAGTAGGCTAGAAGTCCAAATTCAGGGCGGCAGCTCCAGGGGAAGTCTTTCTCTGTTGACTCTGGAGGAAAATCCTTGTCATCAATCTTCTCCTGGACTAGGAGCTTCTCCGCAGGAACCTCATATCCAAAGGACACGCTGTGCTCCTGGCACTGCTTTCTTGGTGGTATGAGGTCCCCCCTTTCTGCTTGCTTCCCTTTCCTTTTATCT